GCCACAGAACTGCCCTTTAACACGCCCAACTGCATTATGAGCTTTTATAGCTTTGAAAATTACGACACAAATCTTTTACGACTCCTTCTCTGCACCATTTGTCTCCACATTACCATTACTACTGTCTTGCATAGCAGTTCTTTTTATAAATCTACCCTAAGGCTCCTTCCCTCTTGTTCCATTTCCTTTCTCCCATCTGCTCCATAAGAAAAAAGGTTAATATATACCAGCAAACCCATCTTTACCTCAATTTATGATGATGGAATTCCCAATGGAGACCCTTTGCCCCTTTCCACAAAAACAGGGAAGTAATTTTATTTTCTCTGAAAATCATCAATCCTCCTATTAGGGCACATGGAAAGCAAAGAGTTGTGCCTTGGAGGGTACAAAATTCAGAGAGGAAGTATGCCACTCTGCACATACCCTTCTCTTTAATGCCACTTTCAGAAGGCAAAATTAATTTACACAACTCTGCAGCTGTTCAACCATTAGAGAATAATATACTTGTTAAATTTCATAAAGCCATCCTAAGATTAGTACTCAAATAAATTTGTAAAAATTAAATCAAATTTAAAAACTTTAAAATACCTTATTAAGGATTCTCCTTAAAAACTCTGTACAATGATACTCACTGCAGCATTATTTGTAACATCAAAGACAAACATTATAAACAACTAAATATAAAGGAATGATGAAGTATGTCATATCCATATAATGCAATTCTATGCACCTATTAGAAAGAATGAAACAGAGCTTTGTACCAATGAAGAGCAATTTCTAAAGATACATTGTCAAATGGGAAAAGTAGGGTATGGAACAAGATGGGGACACTATCCAATTGCTAGTGTAAAAATTACCATATATACATACGCTGGCACAGGAATGAGAAATCTCACTGGAAGGACATACAAGAAACTGGTAACTGGTCGCCCCTCAGGGAAGATCTTAGAAACAGAGGACTGGGATGGGTCAAATTTTACTTATACTATCCAACTTTTTTTTCTTTCTAAGATTTTATTTTTAAGTAATCTATACACCTTAACATGGGGCTCAAACTTCACGACCCTGAGGATCAAGAGTCGTACATTCTTCTGACTGAGCCAGCCAGGCGCCCCTACACTATGTAACTTTTTGTACTAAGATTTTTATCACACACAGTAACCTATTAAAAATAGATGAACCCCTTAGATAAATATAAAATGCAGGTGGATCCATAAAGAAAGACATCTCTAGAAAACATGAGGGACACTGGGGGAAAACAGTACATTTTTTTGGCAAATCAAAGCATTGTCCCAAATACTGTCCTGGCTGAGCACTACAATCCACCTCTTTCCCATGAGCTCAAGTTATACCAAATACAGATTAGCTTTACTTAATTTGCGTTGTTTTTTCAAATTTCCATTCAGGACAAAAATCTAGCATGGTTTTAGTTATATGGTGACTCCTGCTGAGCAGAGAGTCCAATGTGGGGCTCGATCCCAGGACCCTGAGATCATGACCTGAGCCAAAGGCAGACGTTCAACTGACTGAGCCACCCAGGTGCCCCAAGAAAACATTTAATTAACTTTGTCAAGTTTCAAAAAACCAAAACTCTACATTCAAAATCTTAAATGACCAACTCATTTCTAACTAAACATGAGATTTAATCCTCCATATAAACAGAGGATTAATTCTTTCCTCCTCATAATAAAACCCGGGACAGAGAGGGCATTAATGCTAAGTGGGAATTTATGGTACACTTCAACAGAATAAAATAAAGAAATAAAAAGTTGTTGTCTAGGTGGGAATGGTGCATGGAGCCCTGTGCTCATGGACAGCAATGCCCTGGCATGAACATGTTGATCTGACAGAATATGATCAGAAAAGGGCACATCTTGGGGACATCTGGGTGGCTCAGTCAGTTAAGCACCTGACTCTTGATTTTGGCTCAGGTCATGATCTTGGGGTTGTGGGACTGGGCCCTATGTCAGGCTCTGCACTCGGTGTGGAGTCTGCTTGAGATTCTCTCTCCCTTTGCCTCTGCCCCGCCCCCTGCTCTCTCGCGATCTCTCACACACATACATATACACTCTCTCTCTTTCAAAACAAATGAATAAAAATCTTAAAAAAAAAAAAAAGGGGCACATCTTTATTTAAATGGAAAAAAAAAGAGAGAGAGAGAGAGAGAAAAGGACATATCCTGCTGGCCAATATTCCTCCAAAAACACTAGGCATGCAAGGAGGGGCTTCACTAACATTAATGAAATAGCCTCCTTTTTAAAGAGTTAGAAAAAACAGATATCCAGTAAGAAAACAAAAATCATCAGTTATTCCACTATTCAGGGATAACCACCATGAAGGTTTTGACATAGATCCCTCCAATTTTTTTCACGCAAATAAACATATACATGTTATTTTATAAAATTGTAATTTTAAACTGTTTAGACATAAAATCTTAACATTTTATAGTTCTGTTGCATGCTTTATTTGAAAGTTAAATGAAGTTAATCAAATGGACTATACTATGAAAAATTATACACAGTAAAGACAGATCCCTACCTTATTCATTTCTTTTTTTTTTTTTTAAAGATTTTATTTATTTGACAGAGAGAGACACAGCGAGAGAGGGAACACAAGCAGGGGGAGTGGGAGAGGGAGAAGCAGGCTTCCCGCGGAGCAGGGAGCCTGATGCAGGGCTCGATCCCAGGACCCTGGGATCATGACCTGAGCCGAAGGCAGACGCTTAACGACTGAGCCACCCAGGTGCCCCTACCTTATTCATTTCTATAAAATACATTCTAGATGAAACAAATTTATATTGGTGGTTGTGACAGTGCTAGAACACATAGGTGAATTATTCTCTCATCCTTGGAGGCAAGAAGGCCTTTCTACACATTACATGAATACTTATGGAATTCTGTTTTACAACTAAAAGCATAAATCTCAAATGATAAAAGGCCAATTTCTGTAACATACAAGAACTCTTACAAAAACAAAAAGGATGAAAAACCCGATATGAAAATGGTAAATTCTACAAACAGGAGGCTCAAAGAAAAAGAAATACAAGCCATCAGTTAACCTTGGCATCAGACTGAGCACCTTGAGCAGACTGAAAGAAATGCAAAATTTTTAAATGAGGTCATTTTTTACTTCTCAGGGTAATAAAATATCACATGAATAAAAGAGACACCCCAAATCTCACGACCTAATAACTAAGCTACTAATTAATATCATTTTGTCCTAAGTGTTCGCCATCTTCTTTTTTTTTTTTTAAAGATTTATTTATTTGAGTGGGAGAGCGAGAGAGCAAGTGTGCAAGCTGGGGGAGGGGCAAAGGGAGAGGGAGACAGAAGCAGACTCCCCACTGAGCGTGGAGCCCCACGTGGGGTTTGATCCTACAATCCTAACATCAGACCTGAGCTGAAATCAAGAGTCGGACACTCAACCAACTGAGCCACCCAGATGCTCCTCACCATCTGCTTTTGAAGGCAGTTTTTTTTTCCTCTATCTCTAATTCCTCTGTACCTTTCACAAGGCTAGCACTGTTTGTCAGAAAAAAATGGGAATAAATAAATGTTTTCCAAAAGTCATCCATTAATTGACAGTGCTACCAGCAACACATATATGTTTAAATGTACTTCTGTCACTCTTTTGCAATAGGCAAAACGTAAGAAATGATGGTTCTTAAAAAAATAATAATAATAATAAAAGAAATAATGGCTTTTTTTTCATTTTAATTTTCAGTTCTATTATTGAAATCATTCTTAAAAGTAATGCTATATCATACAGCCTAACTCAAAAATAATATGAAGAAATTATGGTCAGGGCGCCTGGGTGGCTCAGTCATTAAGCATCTGCCTTCGGCTCAGGTCATGGTCCCAGAGTCCTGGGATTGAGCCCCACATCGGGCTCCCTGCTCCGCGGGAGGGCTGCTTCTCCCTCTCCCACTCCCCCTGCTTGTATTCCCTCTCTCGCTATCTCTGTCAAATAAATAAATAAAATCTTAAAAAAAAAAAAGAAATTATGGTCAAAATATATCAAATTTGTTGAAAGATAAATTTATAGACTTAAAGTCCACTAACTCCAAGGCAAGAGTAAAAATGAAGAAAATCACATTCAGACTCATCATAGTCTAATTGCTGAAAAACAGATAATCTGTAGATAGAAAAACGGCACCTCAGTACAATGACTATAAATTTCTAATCAGAAATAACAGAAGTTGAAGTTAATGCAGTGACCTCTTCAAAGAGCTCACTGAAAGGAAAAACAAACTCTACCAATCTAGAGTTCTGTTTTCAGTGATAATATCCTCTAAGAATGAAGATGAAATAAAGACAATTGTAGATTTAAACAGATTAAAAAAACCCAAAACCCTAGGAAAATTAAGACCTGTATTGTAAGAAATGTTGAAGGAGGAGCCTCAGAATGAAGGGAAATGATATCTTATGGAAATAGAATCAGCCAGAAGTGGTAATTATGTGGTAAAAAATGGCCTTTTTTCTTTTAGGATTTTATTTTTAAGTAATCTCTACACCCAACGTGGGGCTCAAACTCACAACCCTAAGATCAAGAGTTGCATGCTCCACCAAGTGAGCCAGCCAGGCACCCAAGAAGCAAATATTCTTAACAAAATATTAAAAAACTGAATCCAACAATTTATAAAAAAAGATAATACATTGTGACTAGCGGGGTTTATCACAAGATTGAAAGGTTGGTTTAACATTTGACATTCTATCAATATAATCCATAACATTAACAAAATAAAGAAGATTAAAAATAACGTGCAATAGATGCTATACTAATTTTTGTTTTAAAGATTTTATTTATTTATTTGACAGAGAGACACAGCGAGAGAGGGAACACAAGCAGGGGGTAGTGGGAGAAGGAGAAGCAGGCCTCCCGCCGAGCAGGGAGCCTGATGCGGGGATCAATCTCAGGATCCTGGGATCATGACCTGAGCCCAAGGCAGAAGCTTAAGGACTGAGCCACCCAGCAGCCCCTAATTTTGTTTAGATACTCACTTTAAGTTTTCTAATTCCTGTTTTCTCAATGGAGAAGAAGGTGGAGCTGGAATGAATTTATCTCCATCATGGCTTTTACTGCTAAAATAAAGACAGACTCTAAATTATGAAGAGCAAATAAACAATTAAATATAAAATTGTTTCCCTACCCCCACTCCCATGCAATTTTTTATGCCAAAAATATACAAGAACCAAAAACAACGAATGCAAAATGCTTAGCAACCAGTGTGCTGAAGCTATACTGTATTTCAGTTTCTTTCCTCCAGTACACAATGCTGTTTTTAAAAATTTCTAATTGTAAACAATATCTCTACAAAGGAAACCACTCCTGTATTTTCACACATTTCTCGGTCTTCTGATTGCTTTTTATCAACTACAGTAAAACATAACCCCAATGGAGGAAGAAACAAAAAACCCCCACAATTTTGTTTCAAATTTTCTTTAATACATGTATTTCTATCATAATCAAGAAAAAAACGCTGGGATGAAAGACTTGAATTTAAAGGTGCCATGTGTAAAAACAACTTTATTTATAATGGTGTTTTATTATTACGAGAAGCTCTCTTAATTTCTAGAGACTGGTTAATATTTAACTTATACTAAAAAACTAGAAATTAGTAGAAATATTCTTGAGGTTAACAGTTTATGGTATGTTAAGAGAAAAGGCATAGGTTAAGAAAAAAGGAGAAATTTTAGGATTTAAGTATTTACTTTAATAAACATAAAAACAAAATGCTATCTGGGAGAGCAACAGGATTTCTTTACAACTATTCCTCCTATCAATGAAAAGTTGTTTCTTTCCACTTTTCTTTTTTTTTTTTTATAAATGTCACCAGGCTCAGCAGCAATACTTTTTTTTTTTAAATGTTTTATTTATTTATTCATGAGAGTCAGAGAGTGAGAGAGAGAGAGAGAGAGGCAGAGGGAGAAGCAGGCTCCCCACTTAGCAGGGAGCCCGATACGGGACTCGATCCCAGGATCCTGGGATCATGACCTGAGCCGAAGGCAGACGCTTAACCATCTGAGCCACCCAGGCGCCCCTCTTTCCACTTTTCTTAGGTTCTCTCCTCACTTAAGTCTTCACAGTCTCTCTCTCTTCCAGAAATACTTAACATTCATACTTTCCTTTCTTATTATTCAAAACAGGGGATTTAGGAAATTCGGCTCGAGATTTTAGGAATTCATCTAAAGGATAAAGAGGCTTACTAATGAAGTCCTGAGGGGCTTCACCAAAGGGGGTCAAAGAGATTAGAATACCTGCAAGTTTCACTGCTTTCACTGCTCTCTGTGTTCCCACCTAATTGATTACTATTTTTAGACCCATTTTCCTGCTTCGGATCTTGCTGTTCTTCGGGTAACAGCAACAAGGCATTTCTGAGACAAATGGCTGCAAACTCCATACTGGCTACAGGAATGGCTGAAGACTGTCCATCACTTAAAAAATGAAAACAAATTAGCTAAGTAAATAACTTAAAAATAAATAAGACTTTTCTATTATCAGGAATAAAACCAATATAACTGGAAATGAAAATTTGCTGACAGGTAGAAATTTGAAAATAAGCAGTTATAAGAGAATCATAAAGAACCTAAATCCTAAATATTACACACAGAAATTTTAAAAGTATGAATAATACATAGCAAGTATACACGTCATACAAGATGTATCTCTAGGAATGGGACTAAGGATGGAAACCAACTTGAAGGTTATCTGCAATGTCGTCGTTAATGTAACACAGGAGTTATAGACAAGGAAAATTATAGCGAGGGCAAAGGCAAGGGCAAGTATAGTAAGAATTGAAAAGAAAAGATTTTCACATCTGAGCCTTGTTTTGAAAATGCTTTATTTGTAAATTTGTCTTGCAATTTTTTTGAGATTTTATATAACTTTCTATTGGTTCAAAAGGTGAAAAGTAGTAATAATTTTGAAATTTTAGGAAAATGATCCTTTATCTTAAGTCTTAAAAAAAAAATCTGCATTATAGTTGAAATAAATTAAGACCAAAATATTGTGTGCCAGTTACTATTTTAAAACGTTGGGAGAACTTTTATTTATTTATTTTTTAAAGATTTTGTTTATTTATTTAATTGACAGAGAGAGAGAGAGAGACAGCGAGAGAGGGAACACAAGCAGGGGGAGTGAAAGAGGGAGAAGCAGGCTTCCCGCCGAGCAGGAAGCCCGATGCAGGGTTCGATCCCAGGACCCTGGGATCACGACCTGAGCCCAAGGCAGTCACTTAACCAAGTGAGCCACCCAGGCGCCCCTGGGAGAACTTTTAAATGGTAGTGGAACATTTTTATGTTTTGGAAAAGAAAAAATACAGCCAATTTTTTTTTTTTTTTTTTTTTTTTTTAACAAAGCCTACTACTTTAGAAATAATAGCAACTCCAAACTGGAATCTTTATACAAGATAAAGATGTTCATATTTAAAAGTTACTCAACTGAAGGTTTACATGTGACAGCTTTATAATGCTTTGGTTACTTTATGTATTAGTACTTTTCTCTCTAAATACTAAGAATTAGCTTCAGGGACTATAAGAAAATACCTAAATAAAAAGCATCAATGATAAATTATATAAAAAAAGAAACATCAAGATGCCCTCTTCTGGACATTTTGAATAACGGTACTGAATAGACCAGGGTCTCTTAGGCCATCAACAGTTTCAGCATAAATGTAATTAACTGAATTCTTATGTCAGATAATATTCACTGTGAACCTATATATGGGGATCTATTTGTTGAAGTAACAATAAAACCTAGTTACAAAATGATTTCTCCTATAAAGTGGTAAGTCTTAAGCATATTTTTATAAATAACATTATGTGAAATATTAAATATCTATAGTTTCTCTTTGCAAAATACTTACTTATATACAGTATTCTGTATGGACTGTGATGCCAGAACTATTTTACGATGATAGCCTTGACCAACAATAGACTGTACAATTCCTTTCTTACTCGGAAGGCCTTTAGTTTCTTGTTCAGCAGTCTACAAAATACAAATAATTTCCAATTAATTTAATGCAATTATAAGACAGGATGTGAAAAATGATCTAATACTTTTCCGGTTACTCCAAGGAAGTTCCTAAGATCCATCGATGTGGAGCGAAATATGCTCCACATTGAAGAGTAGTTAGTTAGTACATGGAGTGGGAAGTCTGTGATGCATGCTGTACTTTAATATGAACTTTGAGGTAATTCTAAGGAAAAAAGGCAATTCAAGAATGACTCAAGCATTTACTTAGAATGATTTATTTAGAACATTCTACATCCCAGGGACCATGCTGCATATTACAGGCACTTTGACATCAGATTAAGGAAACATATAGAGCCACAAAAACTCATGAAAAAGGGAAGCAGCTCTACTTTCTAAAACACATATCTTGTGCTTCTTCATTGAAAGCATTAAATTGTCAACAACTTATAAACTCAGACAACCTATATGTTAAAATTTACATGGGCACAATTCTTGCCTTCTAGAAAATTAAAATCCTAAAGCCCTGTAAAACATTAAACTGAAAAGAGTAAAAGCTACTTACACATATATAGTATTTTAGGATATTTCACTAAGATGCATCATCTTACTATGGGAACTGGATGGTGTCAACTACGTCTATCTTCCCTTTCACACCAAATCTCTGAGTTACCTGCAGGTGGATTCCCAACTAGTCATATAAAGTCAGGCAGATTCTCATATGCAGAATAAACTAGAGCCAATCCATGAACTCACAGAGCTAAACTCTGCCCTGCAAAAAGTCCTTCTCTAAGCATAATGTTTCTGTACTGTTACTTATTGCCCCTACTATAACTTCTATTTATGACTTCTAATAAAACAAGGATTCACTTGCATATTCATTTTAAACAGAAAATATTACATAGTGCTTAAAAAATACAACATGCTTGGGGCGCCTGGGTGGCTCAGTCGTTAAGCGTCTTGCCTTCTGCTCAGGTCATGGTCCCAGGGTCCTGGGATCGAGCCCCGCATCAGGCTCCTTGCTCTGCAGGAAGCCTGCTTCTCCCTCTCCCACTCCCCCTGCTTGTGCTCCCTCTCTCGCTTTGTCTCTGTGAAATAAATAAATAAAACCTTTAAAAAAAAAAAACACAACATGCTTAAAAAATACAAAACTGCTCTGATTAAAAAGTTTTTTTAAAGGTTTTATTTATTTATTTATTTATTTATTTATTTGAGAGAGCGTGAGGGAGAGAGAATCAATCTGAAGCAGACTGCACACGGAGCACAGAGCCCAATGCAGGCCTCGATTCCACAACTGTGAGATCATGAACTGAGCGGAAACCAAGAGTTGGACCCTTAACCGACTGAACCACCCAGGCACCTCTCTGATTGGAAATTTTCTGTCAAGGATGCAGCCAAGCAATATTAATGAAAAATTACAGATAGTGGATATTCTGAACCACTATGGGAAAGACTTCCATTCTGACTTTTTTCCTAGTGGTGGCGATAAATTTATAATGATTCATCCATACATTCTTTCCTGATCCTTAAGGTCATGCAAGCCGATCAATCAGATGGCTAGATTTGAAGATGCAGCCTATGAAAACAAAAATGGACTGGAACTAAAAACCCACAATAATAAACTAATACTTTCAATAATACACCAAGAGCCAGAACGTGTGTCAGATCAGTCATGATGTAGAAGAATCGTATGTAATTAAAATATTACTTTATAGTGCCATAACAGCAACAGCACTCAACATATTTCAATTTCAGAACTAAGAAAAATAAATGGTACATCTATATATATATATTTTTTTAAGATTTCATTTATTTATTTGACCAGAGAGATACAACTAGAGAGGGAACACAAGCCGGGGGAGTGGAAGAGGGAGAAGCAGACTCCCCACTGAGCAGGGAGCCCAATGCGGGGCTCGATCCCAGGACCCTGGGACCATGACCTGAGCCGAAGGCAGACGCTTAACGACTGATCCACCCAGGCGCCCCACATTTATATATTTTAATAGCCTTCTCTTAAAATGCTTAAATACTCTCCCTGCAATTAAGTCTACGTTTGATAATTAGCAGGATTTCTCACATATTATACCTACCCAAGCAAGCGTAAGCTGTGCTTCTGACAAAAGCAGTCTGAAGCAATGTGCATCAGATAAACAGGACATAAAACATCTCCTTAGCAACACCAATTTAAGTTCGTTCTTTTTATTCAAAAATGAATTTATTGGGGGCATCTGGGTGGCTCAGTCGTTAAGCGTGTGCCTTCGGCTCAGGTCATGATCCCAGGGTCAGGTCATGATCCCAGGGTCATGGGATCGAGCCCCGCATCAGGCTCCCTGCTCTGCGGGAAGCCTGCTTCTCCCTCTCCCACTCCCTCTGCTTGTGTTCCCTCTCTCGCTGTGTCTCTCTCTGTCAAAAAACAAATCAATAAAATCTTTAAAAAAAAAAGTATTTATTTTTAAAGATTTTGAGAGAGAAAAGAACGAGAGTGAGTGCACAAGTAGGAGGAGGGGCAGAGGAAGAATAAGACTCCCCGATGAGCCCGGAGCCCAATGTGGGCTCGCCCAGGGATCATGACCTGAGCCAAAGGCAAATGTTTAACCGACTAAGCCACTCAGGTGCCCCCAAAATGAATTTATTTCTGAACGTATAAACTGCTTTGGTCAGCATTCCTTCTATACTGACTAAACACATTTTATGGAATTTTATTTGTAGTTTATAATTTCTACTTATTGGGATTTTGTTTTCTGGTTTTATTCAGGAGTATTTTGGGGGTTGTTTTTACTGTCTTTTATGGCACTTTAGATCTTTTTTAGAAGGAGGAGAAGCATAGACATAGATAATTATTTTTGGCAAATTCCCTATTTGTAGCACAAACTGAGTGTTCTAAGATTCACCAAATTATGGCAATCAAGTATCTTTACCATTTTAAAAAAAGATTTTACTTATTTATTTTAGAGAAGACGTGTGAGCAGGGGGGAGGGGCAGACGAGGGACAGGGAGAGGCAGATAAAGGACAGGGAGAATCCCAAGTAGACTCTACGCTGCCAAGTAGAGCCAGATGCAGGGCTCTTTCCCATGACCCTGAGATCCTGATCTGAGCGGAAACCAAGAGTTGGATGCTCAACTGAGCCATCCAGGGCACCCCTACCATTTTTTAAAAATTAGAAGCTTAGGGGCGCCTGGGTGGCTCAGTCAGTTAAGCGTCCGCCTTTGGCTCAGGTCATGATCCCAGGATCCTGGAGTCGAGCCCCGCATCGGGTTCCCTGCTCAGCATGGAGTCTGCTTCTCCCTTTCTCTCTGCTCCTCCCCTTCCCCCCTTTTGTGCATGCTCTCTCAAAATAAATAAATACAAATTTTTTTTAAAGATTTTATTTATTTGACAGAGAGAGACACAGCAAGAGAGGGAACACAAGCAGGGGGAGTGGGAGAGGGAGAAGCAGGCTTCTTGCTGAGCAGGGAGCCTGATGCGGGCCTCGATCCCAGGACCCTGGGATCATGACCTGAGCTGAAGGCACCCCATTAAATAAATAAAGTCTTTTTTAAAGAATTAGAAATTTGTACAAGAAAATGGGAGGATGGGGACTTCATAATAAAATCCACAGAATGAAGACTATTCTAAAGGTACTATTTCTAAAAATAAGTAATTTTAAAAGAAAATATTAAACCTTACTGTATTTCTCTACTCCTAGGAAGATCTAATTCCCTGGTCTCCAGTAACTGTCCAAATGAGAGGTCTCCAACACTTAAATTCATGAATGAATTAAAGAGAATAAGCAATTTCTAGAGATTTTTTTTTTTAAAGATTTTATTTATTTATTTGACAGAGAGAGAGATAGCAAGAGCAGGAACACAAGCAGGGGGAGTGGGAGAGGGAGAAACAGGCTTCCCGCCGAGCAGGGAGCCCGATATGAGGCTCGATCCCAGAACCCTGGGATCATGACCCGAGCCAATGGGAGACGCTTAATGACTGAGCCACCCAGGCGTCCCAATTTCTAGAGATTCTTGTTTTAAAAAAGTATAAATATTGCCTAAAATTGTCAGCTAATTTAAGAATTATCCAGTAAGAAAGTTGTCTTTTAGGGCACCTGGATGGTTCAGTCAGTTAAGCGTCTATCTTTGGCTCGAGTCATGATCCTGGGGTCCTGGGATCGAGTCCCACATTGGGCTCCTTGCTCAGCAGGGAGCCTGCTTCTCCCTCTGCCTGCTGTTCCCCCTGCTTGTGCTCTCTCTCTGTCAAATAAATAAAATCTTTAAAAAAAGAAAAGTTGTCCTTTCTTAAAAGGCAAATTACAATTATATAAATGATTAAAGCCCTTCAAAGATAGCACTTATCTCTTTTCCCAGTGGTATACCCAAATCATGAATAACTTAAGTATCATGTGTGAAAACTGCCAGGCAAACATACTTCTAAATGCTAGTTTTTGCAGCTGCTTCTCAGGAAGTGCTGTTCAGCAATAGGAGCAGCAAAAACATCTATATCACCTATGGCAGACAAACCCCAGGTGCCAGGCCTCCCAATCTCCACACAGCCAAAGAGCGCAGCAAGGGTGGGGGGTGGGTAAGAAATGGGGTGATACAGGCATCTGTTAATTCTGATAGAACCTGTCTTTCTCCTACTCCCACTGACCACTCCCCACTTGAGATTCCAAAGGCTTCTTTCTACCAACCACCACGTGCAGATGTTCTAGGCAAGGACACCCATGTAAACTGGCCTATTTCTCACAGTCACTGTGGACAAAGGTGTGAGAGAGACAGCTTGATAATCCATGAACTCTGAACCATTACTGAATCAAAACTAAAGCCCCTCCCCACTGAAGGAAATGCAGTGTTATACAGTTCTTTGCACACTCATGGTCTTAGTCCTTCTCTAACCACCCGGTGCACATACCATTCTCAGGCCAGCAGATGATATGGCCCCTGCCCCAGCAGCTAGCAGACCACTGTTCCAACAGATACGACCCTCTTGTTGGCTTCACCTCTTTAATGTGACTGCTGATACAGGCTGCTATACTTTAAGAACCAGAATTTTAACAAGTGACTTTAAGAAACTAAATCTTTTGTCCAACTGTTGAAGAACAGACTATCTTTATAAATTTTCTGAGAGTTATAAAGGGAATGAGGTCTTGTGTGTTTTCAAGTATTTTCTGCTTTCTATGTAACAAGTTGGGGGGGAGTGTATAAGATACCCAAGGAGCACTCACCCCCTTATTTGCAGCAATGCAGCATTCAGCCAACCTTAGCCAGAGGCGGGGATTTGCATGATAAACCTGAACAGCTTCAATCAGACACTCAAAGGCAGCAAGAGGTCTTCCAATGTGAAGAAGCTGAATGCCACAGTTATACAGCAACTCATACCTCTTGTTGGTTAGTAATGTACACATGGGTCTTCCCGAAAATTTCTTGCCTAATGATACAAATTAGGTAAGAAAAAAACATTAGGTTAAAAATAACAGTTACACTGAAAACATTTATTCCACTAAATACTTAAATACTACCTTGTTTAATACCAGGGACCCCAGTGCGAAGTTTTGTGTTTCTTTGAAGATTTTATTTGACAGAGAGAGCACAAACAAGGGGAGCAGCAGAGGGACAGGGAGAAGCAGACTCCCGACACAGAGCTGGATCCCAGGATTCAGGATCATGACCTGAGCCAAAGGCAGATGCTTAACCAACTGAGCCACGTAGGTGTTCCGGCCCAGTGTAAAGTTGTAACAGCTCTCTATTAGTGATGATCTTCATCCTCAACCCCACAAATATCCTCCAGAGTCATCTCAGTTGCTTGTGCTGGTGTGGCCAGAGATGTCTCTTCTCATTTGCCAGCTCCCCAGGTAACAATGGTCCAGAAAGGCAAACAAAATAGATAGGACCCACTGACTCCTATGAATCTTTAACCACCTTTCCACCTTTTCAGAAGATTCACTTTCTTTTTTAACTTTCATTTTGGTTAGCCATTTTATTGTCATGTGCTTTCTTAACCAGAAGTATTCAGCTAATGTTAGCAGGAGTTTGGGAACTTTACTATGGAAATAAAAATTAATATATTATACCTACGATGACTATGGTTCACTCACTTATTCAAAGTTTCACAGTCTACAATAAAATAAGACTACTTATGATTTTGGATACACTTTTCATCAGTTTTTTTATGGTTAAAAAAGCTACATAATTGCTTGATTTTAAGCATTCCAGGTCAAGGATCCATATCATATGAATATTAAAGTAAGAAACTTCAGGAATTTGCTCAAAGATTGTCAGGTGCAAAAAAATAAAAAAATAAAAAAGACTGTCAGGTGCTGCCTATAACATCCCATGTGAAACCCTAGAAAGAAGCTATAATAAAACTAGTTTAGGGGCACCTGGCTGGCTCAGTTGGTAAAGCATGCAACTCTTAATTTCGGGGCTATGAGTTCAAGCCCCACATTGGGCATATAGCTTACTTAAAAAACAAAACAAAACAACAACAACAAAAAAACACCAAAAAAACTAGTCGAGAAATCTTAGCAACATACTTTGCTTTATAACATTACCATGTGTGATTACTGATTTTCAAATCCATGAAAAAGTAAACGTAATTTAAATTTCTTTGATAATTACTCCTACCACCTTGCTATTTGAAGTAGCCATATCTACCAAGTCTCCGGAGTCAAACCCGTTGGGCAGGGTCGATGTTAATTGTAGGCAGGCACATATGGATGCATTCTGACCAGACACTTGATCACTATCTACCTATTTATTCTTTTTTTTTTTTTTTTAAAGATTTTATTTATTTATTTGAGACAGAGAGAATGAGATAGAGAGAGCATGAGAGGGAGGAGGGTCAGAGGGAGAAGCAGACTCCCTGCCGAGCAGGGAGCCCAATGCAGGACTCGATCCCGGGACTCCAGGATCATGACCTGAGCCGAAGGCAGTTGCTTAACCGACTGAGCCACCCAGGCGCCCTACCTATTTATTCTTTACCAAAAACAAAAAATTACTTTTTAAATTCCAGTATAATTTACTTACCTTGTTATATTAGTGTTAGGCATACAACACAGTGACTCAACAATTTTCTACACTACTGGGTGCTCAGATGCTTGCTCTTTAATATCATCTCTCAAGTAGGAAGATATAAGCTGTCCCCCAGTGATGGGCTCACCTGGATCAGTGCTGCCTGCACTGAGCTGTGCACAAACACCGTCATTCTCCTGCAGAGCCTTTTTAAAGTAGAAAATTCCCAAATTGTGCTTGCTCATGGCAAAATGGATGCAACCAAGATTATTCCAGAACATGCATCTCAAGCATTCACCTGACAAAAACACAAATAAATTTGTCCAAAAATGTTACTGTTGACATACGCCACACAAGAATTGGCAATGCAACAGGAATTCCACCTGGTCCTTATAGAAAAGTTTATAAGGCATCTGAAATTCAGGACATCTGAAAATTTTCTAAGCTCCTTTCCTTTTAAAATTTTTTATTAAAAGTGATAAACCCTACCCATTGATTTTGTTAGCCTGCTTAATCTTTTCTTCTGATTTTTAAATAATTGTGGGCAAATAATATAATAATGCAAAGGACAAGAAGTATTTATTAGTAACATTATATGCACTGCATCCACACAACAAAATATTATGTAGAAACTGGAAAGAATCAGTATATATGGAAACATACTAAATGAGTAGCAAGAATACATTAAACAATATATAAAATCCTGCTTTTGCTTGTTTAAAGTCTTCACTGTTCTTTTAGTTCACACTTCTTTAATTATCACTAAGGCTGAACATCTATCTTCTCAAGCTTGTTAGGCATTTGTATTTCTTATCCTGTAATACACTGCTTCTTTCTGTTCTTTACCCATTTTTTTATTTGGTTACAGATGTTTTTCCTATTGGTTACCTGTTAGTATGTTATAGAAACCTTCTGTCACATCTGTTTCAAATATTCCCCCCAAAGCCAGTGTGTCATCTGTCTTATGACCTGCTTCAGTGTGTATGTGTGTGCGTTTAATCATAAAAAGTTTTACATTTTTATGTGGTGAAATTTAATCTTTTCTAAAATCTATGGTTCTTGCATTTTGGATAAATCAAGTATCCCCCTCCCCCCCACAAAATTAAAATATTCAAGTTTTCTTTAGTTGCTTTCAACCCTTCATTCCTCTGGGTTTTATTTTGCTGTAATGAAAGCAATCCAAGCTTTAGTTTTCTTCTTCTAAACTGCTTCCCAAATACTCCAAAACAATTTACTGATTGTCTTTTCCACAATGATATAAAATACCAGATCAGACTGACAAAATTAACACTCAGGATATTCAATGCTTAATACTAAAATCTAAAGATTTTCTTCTGATGTGTTCTTAAATTGAGCAATGGTATTTTAAATTTTTTTTATTTTCTATTTTTTTTTATTTTTTAAAGATTTTATTTATTTATTTGAGAGAGAGAGAATGAGAGAGAACACATGAGAGGGGATAGGGTCAGAGGGCAAAGCAGACTCCCTGCCGAGCAGGGAGCCCGATGCGGGACTCAATCCAGGGACTACAGGATCATGACCTGAGCCGAAGGCAGTCGCTCAACCAACTGAGCCACCCAGGCGCCCTGAGCAATGGTATTTTAAAAAGACAAAGAGTAGGGGCGCCTGGGTGGCTCAGCTGGTTGAGCGACTGCCTTCGGCTCGGGTCATGATCCCGGAGTCCTGGGATCGAGTCCCACATTGGGCTCCTGGCTCGGCGGGGAGCCTGGTTCTCCCTCTGACCCTATCCCCTCTCATGCTGTTTCTCTCTCTCTCTCTCAAATAAATAAATAAATAAAACCTTTAAAAAAAAAAAAAAGACAAAGAGTAGGCTTCTGGGGAAGACAGTAGGAAACACATTAAAATGTTTATTTAAAGGAGGCTACCTCTGGTAGTGGCACTGTGAACAATTTAAGAAACATTCTATTCCTGAATCTTTTCCAATAAGCGTATTTTATCAGCAGCAAAAAATAATTTTACATGAGAAAATATTTAAAATTAATAACTATAAAAAATTCAGTACATAAAATATATAACTACTATATAAAAATCTTTCCCATTAGATCATCTTAACTGTTGAGTAGTCAACTATATGTCCTGCTCCTCACTCCACTGTAGAGCCTAAAAATATTGATTCTGAAATCTGTATCAAGACAATCCTAAGCAAAATTTTCTCAAAGGATACTGAATTTTTAGTCTTAAAGATCATTTCAATGTTTGGGTGTTATGGGACTCTGAGGGGAAATTATGACAATAAAAACAGCAAAAATGAAAATTTAGCACAATTAAAAATGGGTACTCAGAGCTTCGCCTTTCTTTTTCCGCCATCTTGGAGTCTGAGGAGGCCTGCTGGGAACAGGACTCCTATAACGCCAAATAATGTCTGGAAGGCTGTGGTCCAAGGCCATTTTTGCTGGCTATAAGCGGGGTCTCCGGAACCAGAGGGAGCACATAGCTCTTCTTAAAATCGAAGGTGTTTATGCTCGAGATGAAACGGAATTCTATCTAGGCAAGAGATGTGCTTATGTGTACAAAGCAAAGAACAACACAGTGACTCCTGGTGGCAAACCAAACAAAACCAGAGTAATCTGGGGAAAAGTAACTCGTGCTCATGGAAACAGTGGCATGGTTCGTGCCAAATTCTGAAGCAACCTTCCTGCTAAAGCCATTGGCCACAGAATCCGTGTGATGCTGTACCCCTCAAGGATTTAAATTTAATGAAAAGTAAATAAAGGTGTAGATTTGTTCTCTTGTAAAAAAAAAAAAAATGGGTACTCAGAATAAACAGAATATCCAAGAGAACTGTAATGGAACAAATTGCTTTTCTCCATCTTTTACAACCCCACTTAACAGAACGGGTAAAGCGGGGGGAGGTGAGTATGTCTGCAGGTGTGCTTTTTTTTTTTTTTTTTTTTAGATTTTCTTTCATTTATTTATTTGACAGGAGGAGAGAGAGAGAGAGAGAGAGAGCGAGTGCTTGAGCACAAGGGGGAGCTGTAGGGAGAGGGAGAAGCCAACTTCCTACTGATCAGAGAGTCCGCCTCCGGGCTTGATCCCAGGACTCTGGGATCACCACCTGAGCCAAAGGCAGCCGTTTAACCGACTGAGCCACCCAGGCGCCCCTGCATGTGTGTTCTATCTTCGCATCTGGATAGAATCTAAAAGAAAACATCCCCAAAAACCTTATTCATCCTTTGCATTTTAAGATTTTATTTATTTATTTATTTATGAGAGAGTGAGTGTGGGTGCATGTGAAGGGGGGAGGAGCAGAGGGGGGAAAAAATCTTAAGCAGATTCCACGCTGAGTGCAGAGCCCAACCTGGGGCTTAAACTCACAACACTGAGACCATGACCTGAGCTGAAACCAAGAGTCAGAGGCTTAACCAACTGAGCCACCCAGGCGTCCCCATCTTTGCATTTTAAACTTGGGATAAAGCATTTTCAATAGTTTGACTTCATTTTTTGAATAAATGGATTTTCCCCCTTTCTCCCCATAAAATAGCAATGATGTGAACTTAAAAGAAAGCCCCAAATTTTACCTTTCATTTTACCAACAGTATTAAGCAACTCATTAAAACTTTTTTTAAAAAACAAACAACAAAAACCTTTCTTTTTTAGACACGGAGAAGAGCAGAGGGAGAGACAGAATCTTAATTAAGCAGGCTCCACACCCAGCACTGAGCTCAATGCAGGCCTCGATCTCACTACCCTGAGATTATGACCTGAGCCAAAATCAAGAGCTGAATGCTTAAGCTGACGCTTAAACCTCATTAAAACTTTCTAGGGGCACCTGGGTGGTTCAGTTGTTGAATGTCTGCCTTCGACTCAGGTCATGATCCCAGGGTCCCGGGATCGAGCCCTGCATCGGGCTCCCTGCTAGGCAGGAAGCCTGCTTCTCCCTCTCCCACTCCCCCTGCTTGTGTTCCTTCTCTCACTTTGTGTCTGTCAAGTAAATAAATAAAATCTTAAAATAAATAAATAAATAAATAAATAAATAAATAAAACTCTCTAAACAGGGACGCCTGGGTGGCTCAGTCGGTTGAGCGTCTGCCTTCGGCTCAGGTCATGATCCCGGGGTCCTGGGATTGAGTCCCCCATCGGGATCCCTGCTCAGTGGGGAGCCTGCTTCTCCCTCTACCGCTCCCCCTGCTTGTGCACTCTCTCTGACAAATAAATAAAATATTTTTAAAAAACTTTCGAGGGCGCCTGGGTGGCTCAGTTGGTTAAGCGACTGCCTTCGGCTCAGGTCATGATCCTGGAGTCCCGGGATCGAGTCCCGCATCGGGCTCCCTGCTCGGCGGGGAGTCTGCTTCTCCCTCTGACCCTCCTCCCTCTCATGCTCTCTGTCTCTCATTCTCTCTCTCTCAAATAAATAAATAAAATCTTTAAAAAAAAAAAAAAAAACTTTCGAAATAGAAAACAGATAACGATAATTATCTTCCCAACTTTATAGAAATATTTTTGATATAGTTAATCTAAAAAATCATAATATGGTCACAGCTTTTACAGGAGAAAAGGGAAAAGTAAAAACATTATCATCTCATTTCCTTAAAAGATCTCATTTCACAAAGTAAAAGTCCAAGGACCTTACGTCCTGGACATAATTTGTAAGCTGGTATTAAAAAATGAAATGGGGGCGCCTGGGTGGTTCAGTCGGTTAAGCGTCTGCCTTCGGGTCAGGTCATGATCCTGGAGTCCTGGGATCGAGCCCCACATTGGGCTCCCTGCTCAGCAGGAAGCCTGCTTCTCCCTCTCCCTCTGCCGCTCCCCCTGCTTGTACTCTCTCTTTCTCAAATAAATAAAATCTGAAAAAAAAAAAATGAAATGAAAGAAAGCATACATGAGGTGAAATAAAAGTAAAGGAGTGAAGCTTCTTTTTTTTTAAGGATTTTATTTATTTATCTGACAGAGAGAGAGACAGGGAGAGAGGGAACACAAGCGGGGGGGTGGGAGAGGGAGAAGCAGACTCCCCGCAGAGCAGGAAGCCCGATGTGGAGCTTGATCCCAGGACCCTGGGATCATGACCCGAGCAGAAGGCAGACGCTCAACGACTGAGCCACCCAGGAGCCCCGAAGCTTCTTCTAAAATGGAAACAAATAGGGGCACCTGGATGGCTCAGTAGGTTAAGCATCCAACTCTTGGTTTTGGCACAGGTCCTGGGATCGGTCCAGCCTCAGGCTCTGCACTCAGTGGGGAGTCTGCTTCTCTCTCTCTCTGCTCCCCCTCCTTTTGCCCCTCCCCATGCTCACTCCCACTCTAAAATAAATAAATCTATAAAATAAATAAAATGGAAACAAATAATAGAATAAATTCTAAGAATTTTCTGCAGCAGAAATAATAAAACATTTCATTTAAAAAAATTAGCGGGGCTCCTGGGTGGCTCAGTCATTTAGCATCTGCCTTCAGCTCAGGTCATGATCCCAGGGTCCTGGGATCAAGCCCTGCATCGGGCTCCCTGCTCTGTGGGAAGACTGCTCCTCCCTCTCCCACTCCCCCTGCTTGTGTTCCCTCTCTGTCATAAAAAATAAAAATAAAAAAATAAGCAAAAATCACACTGAAGAGCACTATAGGAAATAAACAACAAAAGACAGAAGAGCCAGAAAAAATACTAGAATTTCACAATTTTCTTTTACCTGTTTTCATGAATCCTGGATGTTCAGCAATGTTTGAACTATTTAATAGCTTCACAGCTTTTCGATAATTGCCTCTTAAGTACTCAAAATTGCTTTTAAGAAATAGAGAGGGTGCAGACTGTAAAGAAAATATAAGTTGCTTATATTTTGTTTTCAGATGTCTATTGTGAGATCATAACCACACTGCTGTATTGGCATGTATTCAAGAGCATAAGTGAATCATTTAAATCATGCTCACAAAAAACTATAGCAATTTTTCATTGCTTTCACGATCTAAAAAAATTAAACCTTATCAGAGAGCACCTTATCAACTGAATTAAGGGTCTGCCTAAAAAAAATACACGCAGTACATATGTATAAGAATACAGTCTGCAGATCATCAACAGACTGTCTTCATTTATTATACTACTACTTGGAAGCCAATTTAACTAGGTCCTTCAGTTCAATGACTATTTAGAGAGATTGGAGGTCTCCCTTATTTTTTAGGGTACAGATGCACCTTCATTAGAACCCAAAGGGACACAAATAATCCAATGCCTTTCCAAATAGGAAAAAAAAAGTGTCATTCTGTGGATGGAAGAATTGCCTAACAGAATACCTTATTTTCAAGAGCTAATCTTGCTTGTGACAAAGATCACATTTCGGATGGCAGACCATGTTTCACTTCCCCTAAGAATCCTCCTAGTGGAGGATCATCTGTATCATACCTATTTAGAGTGCAAAAGCATGCATAGATCTGCAGACTAAACATCCATCCAAGAGGACATCAGGAATCCTGGTCTCATCATTTATTCACTTTAGCTTAGCTATAGGCTTTTCTTCTAAGTCCTTGTTCATGCTTTGCTCTGCCTCCTGGTCATTGAGGAACAAGGGCTTCCAAAGCTTATTCCGGGTAGCAATACTTCCTCCTGATTTAGGTATTACTACTACCCTGCATTACAATTGTTTATTTTCCTGTTTCTCTCTCCCCTGTGAATATAGCTTCCATTAAGGCAGGGATCATGTCTTTTATCTCAAAAAAGGTTTGATAATGGTTAGCTGGCTAGTTAGGCTTTTCCCTCTTAGCCTCAAGTCTACCTCCTCAGACTTTGGCTACAATTTGTTCTCCTCAAAAATCACTTGAGTACTGACCCAGTGACTAATCTGGATCCTGCCTAGGATTTCTAGGGTCAATTATCCTGAACCATTCCTACTACAAACTGTTGTACAAACTACTACAATACTTCAAAGCCAAACTATTTCTCCTTATGACTTCATACTTAAAATTAACAGTTTTCCCAAAAGCATCAAGAACGTTCACAATTCTATCTTTTCCCTCCACAGTCTTAAACGTTATGTATCAGTGGAGGAGTGGAGTGGAGGGAGTGGAAGGAAGGAGTAATTTTATCTCAAATACTCTAGCAACATTAGTCAAACTGAGGTACTGTCAAGTCAAAGATCATTTGGAAAGGGTAGGTTTGGGCTATAGCTGAACTGTTAATCTTTAATAAATGTTTTGAGTATAAACTAATAAAATCCTGAAGTGTCTAACAGTAAATGTTTACGTGACTTGTGATAAACCATTTCCAGAATACTAGATAGCTATTTAAAATGGTGGTTTTGAGGGCTACACACCAAGGGAAAATGCTTGCTATAATTTTAAGTGAGAAAAGTATTAAATTATAGACACAGTATGATCATCACTTTACAACTCAATGTCAAGGATTATATGTAACAGTATATATATACTATAATAGACTAAAATAAATTATTTAAGACTGACAAATACCTACTATCCAAACAAGAAAGTTTTAGGACATAAAAGTTACAAACTGGAAAAAAAAAAAAAAGAAAAGAAAATCAAGAAGAAACTTACATTTCCAGCTGTGTTCATAACTGACTTGATTTCCCTTTTGCATGCTTTCAGGGACTTCATTTGGATATAAGCTCTTACTTTATACTATCAAAGGAAAATGCTAGTATGTGAGAACTATGATGGATTTACACATGCTGAAGTAGTTTTACTTTCTAGTTAAATGAAATTTCAACCCAATCTGTTTACAACATAGTTATACCAGTTACTTGCAAAACTAAGTTTTAAATTATCTTAATCTATTTTTACTGTATTCTTAGAATGCATTCTAAAAAACAAAAAACATGGTAGAATAAAATTTATACTTAAATTCCAAGCAAAAATCCTAACAATTCTTTTATTTTTTAAAAAACTAATTTATATTTTAATTCCAGTATAATTAACGTACAGTATTAGTTTCCGGGGCACAATACAGTGATTCAGCAATTCTCTAATTCCTATCATTTTTATCTGCACCTGGCTAATTAAGAATGAATTTTAGTAGTCTACAAACTGATTTTGTCATCCAATACATTCCCAGGCCATTTCTCTCAATCTTTTATCAAGTAATTAAAGAAAAGATACTGCATTATCATTTTAAGCAAATACAATTAGAAGGATAAATATGCTTTTAAATTATAATATTTCAAAGCCAAACAAATATACATGCCTTAAATTATTTACTGCTTTCAATGATCTATCACATTCTTCATCATTCATAACTATTAGTAAATATACGTGATGCATAACCTCTCTGAGAATTTATGCTACCTGATGAATCTTTGATTTTGCAGCTTCTATTAGGGCTCCACTTTCAGCTTTATGATTTGATCCGTCTTTGTTGGTATTATTACCAGTCTGTAGGGTGGTAAAACAAAGTTAACCAAAATTAAAAATTTTTTACCATAATTAAATCAGTGATTTACAAGTGAGCTTATCTGAATCACCTACAGAATATTTTAAAACTACAGAATCCCAGGTCTCACTCCCAGAGATTCAGGTATAATAGTCTGGAGGGGGTAATAGGAATTTTTTTTTTTTTTTAAGATTTTATTTATTTGACAGACACAGCGAGAGAGGGAACACAAGCAGAGGAGTGAGAGAGGGAGAAGCAGACTCCCCACTGAGCAAGGAGCCCAATGTGGGGCTCGATCCCAGGACACTGGGATCATGACCTGAGCCGAAGGCAGATGCTTAACTGACTGAGGCACCAAGGCGTCCCTTTTTTAAACTTTTGATGTCTACA